GGTGGCGAGGATGTTTACGGCTGGATTTGTTTGCTGTAACGTTGAAGCAAACCTAGAGGGTGGGTGTGTTTTGCTTATGGAGGTATGCTAAGTGTGTAGAACACTGCCTGAAACACAGCAGGCATTGAATGAATATTCATTGAATGAATACACGACTGGATAAAAGACTGGTCCTATTCGGCCAATCCTGAGATATGTATAGTTTTATAGCTTTGAGGTTCTGTATAGCATCATGGGAAGAGGATATGTATAGTATCACAATTAAATATACTCTCACACACCAACCAGTAACACAGCCCTCACTGAGCTAAGTAGAGACAGTGTTTTCTGCAGAACTTCTGTAGCACAGTGTCAGAAGCAGCAGGTTTCGATTCTGCACTGAGAATTCAAATACTCTGAAAAACCCTCAGTCCCTAACCTGAAAAGTAAGAAAACTCCTTTTAGAGTTCCCCTATCAGGTACTCTGACAGAACGTTATTTTGGGCATATTACCGAATCCACTATGGAACTGAGGTTAAGAGCTCTTTTTGGAGATGCCAAATAGAACATTCAATGTTTTTCTTATAGCGAAAGGGTGTATCCCTACCAAAATACATTTAGCATATATAACTTTCAGCACCTTAAAAAAAAATCACATATAATAGTCTGCAATACCAACATTTATTTGCCCTCAAAATAGTATTAAGAAGTGGCAAAAGTGGAGAAGCATCACTAAAAAGACAGATGAAAGAAAATAATGATGCGTTCAGTTCCAAATGAGATGGTATTTTTCTTTAAAAAATGCTGATAATATCGTGCAGAGGATATTACTTTCAATAGCAATGATAAGCTCTAAATACTTCTGCTTTGTGAACCTAATGTCATGAAGAAGAAAATGTTTCAGAACTGACTACAGCACTTAGCCTGCCTTGGAACGCACGCCCTCTACATGAAATACAACAAACCATTATGCGGTGCTGTTCAAAATGCAAATAAAACATCTCCTGAGCACTTTCTTCTACCTCTCAGTACTTCTGGGGACATCTGACCTTGAAGAGAGAGTCTCTGCTGAAAATGTTGTCCACATGTCTAAAGCCCTCCCCCCACACATGCGCTCTGCCATCCACCCTCGACCAAACCGGCTAAATTACATTCAGATTTTTGTGGTATCGTAATAACTTCAATATGGGACATATTTTCAACATTCTGGTCAGAGACTCCTTTCTTCCCCGCCTCACCCTCCTTCCAAGTTATTTCAGGTTTGCATATTTCATTTTCACATCTCAGTGGGATACCCATCACATAACATTTATTTGTGAGGTCTAGAGGCATGATGTGGGGGATTGTGAACTACCATGTCAAAACCACATACTGCATGCGTGCGTCTTCAAGAATGAAAAAGGATTCCTTTTTTCTCAAGATATATAGGCTGTCTCAACAATGTAAGTCCAACGTGAATACCACAACCTAATCAAAGATGAAGAGCAGAACAAGCCGTATTAAAATGTCTTTTTGGATTCATTCTTCTCCAAGTTATGTTTTTATCAAATGTCCTGTCTCATTAATGACTTCAATAGACATAATGAGTATACACACCTTCTAATCTCACCAAATTCAGAAGAGAGTTGAACAAACTTCCCCTGCATGTTTTGGGAGGGACCCCAGCAGGGAATACGGATGCCGGGTAGAAAGGGGCTTGGAGAAGATGCTACGTCCATCGTCTGCCTACAGGGATGAATGTACTTATCCTCCCAGAAAAACGAGGCGCTTTTAAAGATCTCTGGAGTTGGAAATCCCACGGCCTCTCTTGGGATGCAATTCCTGCACGTGAGAACATTTATTTCTAGGAAACTCTTCCTTTGGGTCTAAACATGCTTCGGGAGCAAGTGAGCTGTGTAGTGCGCAAGTGAGTAAGTGCTTGGAAGGGCCCTGCACTTGCTCTCATGCTGGCTGTCACCATCCTGAAATTCTTAGTGATTTTATCTTTGAACTTGTGAGGTCTGATGAGACAGTGAAGAGTGTGTGGGAAAGAAGGACACGCATAACACATGTGCACCCTCCGCCTCTCTGCCCTATTCATGTACAGCCCCATAAGCTGGGAATCCTGTGGTCCCAGGGTGGAGAGGCGGCCCAAAGCAAGTACGAGGGAGGCAGGTTACCCCTGGGCTGATTAAGCAGGGGCATGGACAGTCCTGAAAGGCTTTTCATTTGAGCCAGAACTTGTTTTTGAAAGAGGAAAGAAGACAACAGATGCAGAGGGCAGGAGCGACTCAGGAAGCCCGTTTCTCTCCTGCTCCCTCCCTGCACCACCTCACCACGGCGCTGCGGGAAGGCGGTGATGGAGGGCCCCGCGGCCTTCCGTCCTTCCTTACGAATCAGGAAGCGGACCGGGGAGAGTGTGGGTAGACTGTGCATCGCAAGAAGTGAAATATAGACAGTTAGGAATCAGACAGATTCCGCAGTTCTGGGAAAGCAAAATAGATGTGCGTGCATTAGCTACGAAATACAAATCGTATTATTATGATGAGTCCGCATATGGGTTTCCTGTTCTTCTATCTGTATTAAAGCTGGTGTTGCCCATTATAAAGATTAATGGTAAAATTCATGCTAAAAATTTAAATTTTTAATTTTCCTATATTCAGAACATAAAATAGCAAATAAAAACACATGACGAGAGAGACTGAGCCAAGTGAAAGCTTCATCTGTAGCACCTGTTCTAGCAGCACTTGAGCCCCTGTCCTACTTCTTTTGGAACAAGGGACCCGTATTTCTGTCTGGCGCTGGGCCCTGTAAGTTACCCAGCCGGCCCGCCCTGCCTCCCCATGCTCCCGCTCACATCCTCTGCGTCCGTCCTGCCATCACCTCTTGTCATTCACCTGACAAACACTGACCGCGCTATGTGGGGCATTGCACCAGGCTCTGAAAATACAGAAATGAGTAAGATGCCACCCCCACCGTCCAGCGCAGACGAGGAGACAAATAACCATGGAAAGATAATAATACTTGCCTTGCATGACTTCCGTGCAGAACATGAATAGTGTATGAAAACTGTATAAACCACTTCTGATCATGATTAGCGCTCTATTCAGCTACCTCAGTACAACTTATTGGGAGGTCCTATTACTATTTCCATCACAGGGCTACAGGAGCAGAGATTTAGATAAGTTAGAAACGTGCCCAGAAGGACTTGGTCACTGAGCGGTGGGACCAGGAACTGAGGCCACCCAAGACTTTTTGATGACTAAATCTGAGCTCATAAGTGATAGTTCTTAATATACTTCTAAGCATTGTATTCTTTATTTTCCATTACAGTCATACCTCGGTACCCGTCGGCTTCAGAACTCGTCCAACCCTGTACTCATTGCATTTTGACAAGACAAAAATGTTTCAGCAGTCACCGCTTGCGCGAGACTCGTCCCGCTTGCTCGAGCTTGTATGAGTCATATCTCCGCTCCACAAGAGGAAATGCTTCATTGTTCAGTGCCCTGGGGTTTTGGCCCTCAGCACGAGCCCCAGAATGAACGAATTAACGAGGAGTCCCGAGGTGCCACTGCGTTATAATGTCAACATTTCTACCTTCTCAAAGGTCATTTTTAGCTGTAATTTATCTATCTAAAGAAAAGCGTATGCTTAGTTTTTTCCAAATTATTTATTAGTGTTTTATTTAGGATATAAAATAAAGGTTGATTTTTTTTTTTTAAATCTGACAATCTTTTGGCCCAACTGTAGAAAATTAGATCCAGTCGACAAAGTTTGTTATTTTCAAAAGCATGTTCATGACCTTGTTTGCTAAAATACAGTGTACTGGTTAAAAACATGGACTGTAGGAGTGGACAGACCCAGTTCCAAATCCTGGCTCTACCCCACTAGTCTCAGAAAGAGACTTAACTCTCAAAGCCTACATTTTCCGATAAGTAAAATGGGGATGAAAACAGTACCTTTACGGTCTTATAGGGACATGTTTAAATTTAAATAATGTAATCTTTCTGAAACATTTAAAGTAACAGCTAGTACCTAGTAAGCACTCAAAAATGTTATTTTTAATACAGTTATTTTTAGTACCATGTTCTCATATCTATGTTGGAAAAAAGATTTGAAATAACTTTTTTCTTGAAATGGTTTCCACCAATACAATAGCTAAGTACAAGCGTCTCTAATTTCCAAAAAGCCTATTATTTCTTTGTAATAAAAGCAGCTGGTGGTCATAGATATCTCTACAATGCAAGGGATCTGAGATATTTTTACTTAAATAACGCTTTGCTCAAAACTCCAAATATAAACCCTCCTTTTCCCCTTTTTCATTCTAAACTGCCTATTCAAATGGTCAGGGGCAAACAAGAGTTTATGAACTGTATATAAAGAACTAGGTAAGTGCAATGAAATGCGCCTGTCACACAGCATGGCAGCTCTCTCTAACCCTCGAAGTGACGTCTGCGCTGGAGAACACTGAGCAAATGAAAACCGCTGACCTGCCTCCTCCAGCGGGACATCTGGAGGTTCGCTGTGAGCACCCAGGCAGTCGAAAGGCTGTTTCCCGGGCTTCTCAGGGATCAAAGAGCACATAAAAAACAGACCGGATACCGAGCAAAAATGGACTATTTTTAAAATAGCACTAAGGGAAAAAAGGCTTTCAGTTGGCGTTTTCATAATAATTTGAAGGGGGGAAAAAAACAAGATTTGGGTTAAAAAAAAAAACAAACCCAAGCCATCATTTGGTGCCTTAAAAAACATGATAGCCCTGCACCCTGACCAGGTGACTCAGTTGTTTGGAGCGCCATCCCATACACAAAACAGCTGCAGGTTCGATCCCCAGTAAGGGCACACACCTAGGTTGCAGGTTCAATCCCTGGTCAGGGTGTGTACAGGAAGCAACTGATCGAGGTTTCTCTCTCTCAATCTCTCTCTCTCAAAACAAACAAACAAACAAACAAACAAAGCCATAATAGCCATGCGCCATCTCCCTAAAAGCACACTCTTTTCAGTAGCAACGGCCGTGCCCACTGCAGACGGTGGGTCCTTACCAACTCTTGAGTGTCCCGCTGCAGCGGCAGAAATGCCGCCTCCAGAATCACAACCTGGTCCGCACTGAGCTTCTGCCACAGCCCGATCAGCAGGACCATCAAACGGGAGGCGCTGTTCAGCCTGGTGAATGACTGGAACAGGCTGTCTTGGTTCTCCTCGATCGCGTCTGCCAGAGCGATTACCTGCAGAAATGACGAACTTCGGTGAGGGACAATTTCACCGTGCTTGGGTCCGCCACAAATTGCAGGTGGCACACTCCTGTTTTTCTTTCAAACAGCTTGGTGATCTTTGTCTCCCCAAACACAAGCTATGTTGGGTAAGAAGAGAGTTATTCATCTCTTCACTTCCTTCTGTAAAAAAAAACATGCCCAAAGTAATTCCAAATTCATAAGGCCGGGAGATAAAAAAAAAATATCCATGGGATCAGCTTAATGGGGACATTGTTCAGTGTTGCTTCACCACCATGACCTTCTACAATAGATGATAATATAAGTAACTTCTAATACAGTTTTTACAGTCTTTAATACCAGCCACAGAGATGGGTCAATTTAAAAAGTTCTTATCAAAATAACTACATTTGCCTCATAATTTAAAATGAGTTCATTACACCCTTTTCAGAAAATAGCTATCTCCCTCTGATTATTATTCTTTATATGTCTCATGGCTGGAGTGTCAATATTTCTTTATTTTATCCAAAAGGTAGATAATGTTCAAACATTTAGCCAGTTATGTGTCATTTTTTTAAATACAAATGTCAGGCACCAGCCAACCAGGGCCTGAAAGAAAAAAAATGTTTGGGGTGTGTCAGCTTCACAATGCCAAATCTACTTGGAATAAAATTGGCAGAAGTGAGTAGAATTGCCCTTTTTTTTTCATCCCCTTGAATGATCTGTGGAAAAAAAAAGAACTAAAGCAACAACTGGATGGATCATCCAAGACTGTCCATTGGTGTTTTATTTTATTTTAATGACTTGGTGAATTTTGTGCTCATTAGAAGTAATTAACTGACTTGGTCCAAGGGTTCAAGGCATCTGATGGCCCCAAAATCGGCACAGCAAGAGCCAGAGCAACGTGAGCTCCTTCCTAGAGTCCCCACCAGCGTGAGGGACCAGAGCTCGGATGAGCTCCTGAAGTCCAGTGCAGGTGATCCATTCAGTGATATTTCATGGGCTGCTGACGCTGGCCCAAAGAGCTTGTTAAAAAACCATCATTCAAACAAGTAGACTCTATAGCGGTGCGGTCGCCCAAATTCCAGGGGAGTAGCGGCACTGTAGGGGGACAGTCCTCAGAGTGTCCAGGAGACGCTGGAACAGAGATGTAGGTTAGAGAAGGACAAAGTGAGCAGCCTGGGATTCTTTGCCACATGGTGCAGTCCTTGCAGGAGTTACGAAAGGCAATCGCAGTCCACATTCAGCTCTCCAGGGAGCCCCGGGAGTTTGGACCAAGGTCAGCAGTACAATCAAGTTCATTGTTTACTACATGCCTGGTACTGGACTGCTTTCCATTGTATTCAAAAGAAGTGCATGATATCCTACAGCCCACGAGGATCTTATAACTTTTTGGACAGAAAACATACATACACAGCCAATTAGTGGAAAGAAACATTACTGTAATAATGCCCTAATTGTCCAGAATAAAAAGTAAGTGTGAAAGAAGCTACCAAAGGGACAGATTATTATGGGCCAGAGTTAATATCCCCGGGGCCTTTTTTACTCAAATGAGGCTTGGAACTCATCCCTTGCCCATTACTCCCAGCAGTCTCCTCGAAGAGACAGAAAGAGGCCACTTTCCTTAAACCAAAACACCTGGAATCATCTGCGTCCCCCACCCTCACCACAATTACAGCTGACTCCTGTTAAAGTCTAAATTTATACATCTTTCCCTTCCTGGGAACGTTACCAATTAAGCCTCATTGCAGGAGTCATGATACTACGGCACAGATGCTCATTGTCAATAAGTCCAAATCATACAAAGATCAAGGTCATGTGCGCCTCCGGAGTGCCAGGTATGTGCACAAATGTGCAGGAAGCACTATGGGGAATTCCACAGAGACAGATCTCCTCTCCACCTTCAAAGAGTGTATAACAGAGAAAGAAAAACAGGTCAAGGGGGCAAATGTTGAGCATGCAGGGAAGACCCCATAGACTCAAGGGAAGAGTGCTACGAACAGGGTAATTGTTAAGAAACCCATCCAATGAGTTGGGCATAGACTGCGTGCCAGACATCCTGCTCCACGCATTCGCCCCTCACGCCTCCACCGTGACTTAGCTGGTATGATCCCCGTTTTACCAATGATGCCCCTGAGGCTCGGCCAGTGTAAGGAATGTGCCGGTACCATACACAGGGCACACGAACGGTGCCCTTGCTTAGAAGGGCTCCATGCCTGGTTTAGTGCCCTGCTGTCGCTGCCTTGAAAGTCTTAACACTTTCACTTCGGAAGGTGTGTTTTGCAAGGGAAGCCCGTGGGACGATGGAGCACGCACACACGCAGAGGAGCCATGCTCAGCAGCTCCTGGTTACACGCTCTACGAGCTGCACTTACAACTGGCATCATGTAACAGCAAGGGGAATGGTCGAATCCATACTAACAATTTAAAAGTTTAACTTTCCCTGACTTGGGATGACACGAGCTAGAAAATAAAAGACACCATCAGCAGGTGTGAAAGGGAGACCACTGATGACAGGGAAGAGCTTTCTATTTTAGTAGCTGCTTTAACAGCACTTTCTTCTTGCCTTTTAACGAGCGCCTGCATTTTCATTTTGCACTGCGAACTGCAAATTCAGGAGCTGGCTTGACTGTCACCTACAGAACAAGAGGCCGGGGTTCAGACTTCGGAGTTGCTCGCTCCCAAGCCTGCAGGAGCCTTGAGGTTCCTCCCGTGCTCAGGGAAGGGCCCAGCTCCCGCTGGGTGGGCGGGGCCTCCGAAAGGAAAGGTGGAGGAAGCAGCAGCCAGCTCCAGCAGGCTCCAGAGAAAGAACCAATTGTTCATGTCTCAGAAATTTGGTGAGCCCGCTGTTATACACGGCCACTACGAAAAATGAAATTACCTAACTTTAAAATTAAATAAAATACATTAAGACGAAGGTAATACATCCTTAAAATTACTTCCTAATTACTCTTATCTGGGCCCTTGGGGTTATTTTTGCCTATTATCCCCTGCAGGGTGGAAACAAATGGCTACTGTCCATTTTTTCCCAAGTCTGCATTCTGTGACCTCATGCTGGTCACTTGCAATTGGCCATGGTGGAAGCTCTTGCAACCTGGAGGTGAACAAACGCCTCAGGGCCAGCCTCCTCCCCGCCCAGAGCGCTGGCGGTTAAATACTTACCAGCATGTCATCTAGAAGAGGTACCTGAAATTCATCCTCAAGAATAGATACTGGATATGGGGGCTTTAAAAATGAAGGGAATGCCGTGGCCTGGTGGCCCAGTTGGTTGGAGCATCGTTCCATACACCGAAAGGTGGAGGGTTCCATTCCCCGTAAGGGCACATGCCTGGGTTGTGGGTTTGATCCCCGGTCGGCTGTGTGTGAGATGTCGCCGATCAACGTTTCTCTCTCATACCGATGTTTTTATTTCACTCTCTCTCTCCCTCTCTCTTTCAAATCAATGAACACATCCTCGGGTGAGGATTTTTTTTAAAACAGTGAAGGGAACAACTTGACCAACTGCATTAAAGCAGAAACATGTGGCTGCTTGTTCAGAGAAGAACAAATATTCCAGTTTGGGAATAGCATTTGATGAGACCAAAAAAGGTATGTGGGCAGCTGCTGTCAAAGAACCACAATGTCAAGCTGAGGAGCAGGCACTTAACGCTGCCAGTGCTGGGGAGCCACGGAGGATCCGGCGTGTGGGCTTTCCCGGAGGGAGGTGACGCTAAGCAGCCGCCAGATCACAGCGACCATCCGGGGAGCTTGCTGGGGCTTAGGAGAGGCACTTATGCATGTCCCTCACTATCAAGGGAAAATGTTTACTAAGTGTAACAGCATGTCAGCTTGTGGACCCACCCAACTTGCCAAATGCAGCTGCGGTGGAAGAGTGACTTCTCACAGCGAGTCACAGCAGCACAGGCCATGGGCTCTCTCCTGAGCAAGGCCCACAGAGCATCGGTCTGGGAGACGCACCATTTCTCTAAGTCCCAGTCTCTCCCTGGACATGTCTCCATGCCATTGTGGAAAGAGTCTGCTATCCCCAAATAGTCACGGGAACTGGAAGGAAAAGGCATAAACAGTTCCTTATGTCAATTACCCCCAAGGAAAATCTCCCTGACCCACTGGCCAGCATGAAATACTGAACAGATCTCCATGTTCTCCATCTGGTTTTACACGTAACAGCCAAGTTTACTTTGTCCTCCATGAGAGCCAAATGAATGCAGCAGAATTAACACAATGAAAAAAAAAAGGGCTGGAAAAACTGGCCCCATCAGGAGTCAGATCTGACCAAGGCCTAGAAGATTTCACAGCTCACCTGGAACTGAGAAAAGGAGGCCAACCCGCTGTGGGACTCCGGTGTGCGGGAGAGGGACCTTTGCGAGCTCATCTCGGGCTGTGGAGAGATGTGTGTTCCCTCATGTTCAGCGGGACGCAGCAAGGGGAGGGCTCGGGAAACAATAAATGCTCACGGGTTCAAGCGCAACGTGTTGACGGCCTTTGTTTTGCTTTTTCAAATTGAACGTTTCCAAATAAAAGGGAGACCCCAAAGGACATCCCTGTCCCACTGCCATATCAGTTGATGCCAAAGTAATGAGGCAGAGGCCCAGGGAGCCGCTTGCAGGAAAACGCTCAGCTCGTAAAGTGAGTGTGAAATTAATCCCAAACACTTCCAGCTGCCAAGATAGGCTCTGAAATGGGTTACAGGAAAGCAGCAGCCGCAACAGCCGAGTAGACATGAATCATGCTATGGGAACATGGACATGTCCAATTTCTTCACCTAAGCTTACCATCCGACCCGCCTGCAGGCCACAGGTGTGGCACACAGAACCCCACTGCATAGGTGCCCGGCTGTCATTTACCGCGCCCGGCTGTGGGCCAGGCCCTGCGCGCGGGCTGCTGGACTCAGGTGACCCTCAGGACCGCCCCCTGAGGCAGGGCCCGTTGGCCCCCTTCGCCCCAGCTCTGTGATGAGGAAACAGAGGCGCGCAGCTCTGACAAGCTCACAGCCCACATGGACACGCCGTCCGTGGTCGTGAACCAGGGAGAAGGGCGGGGACTCCAATCCTGCCTTCTGACTCCGCACTGGGGGCCCTTTCTCCTGCAAGGACATGTGAATGCAGACAGCTGGCCCTAAAATAATGCAGTCAGTTTTTATCTTGATAATCAAACAAAGATATTAAGGAAAAACATACATCCCTCATAGGCAAATGTGCTTTAGTTAAACTTTACCATGGTTGGGGCTTTTAACAAGAGGTCCACTGGTTAAAATTCCAGGTGGGTTTCTGCCTGAAGTTACAATAGAGAGGAAATTAGTTCATCGTCTGTAAAGGATGAGAAGTTAACCTAGTAAGCTTTTTCCCCCCTCTTAACGAAGGGAACATTATTATGCTGCAGATAGCTCAAAATCATGACGACTTTAGAGAACAGCTATTTTCCAGGCCTGCTCTATTAGTGAGACTACTTTTATTAAAGGGGGGATTCATTTATTGTCTTCAAAAAAAATCTCATGTTACAATGTTTTCAGTGGTCTGAGCAAGTGGGTCTTCTCTGATAATAATTTGTCAACATTTGCAGAGGGCTTTCTAGGACCCAGCACTGAGCTAACCTCTTTACAGGGATTATCTCATTCCATTCTTGATACAATTTCACGAAGCAGATACCACTGTTGTCCCCGTTTTAAAAATAAGGAAACAATTACAGAAAGGGTCAAGCCATGAGTAAGCAGCAAGAGCCAGGATTCATACCCAAGCAATCTGATCCAAGAAATGTCACCACGCAACGCTGCCTGCATTAATTCTCTCCCCGCGCGTCAGTTTCACCATAAGCGATATGTGGAACAAATTCTATCAAAAGCTTCCCAGTGGGAGGTTTCGGGTTTGCTGACCTCCGATACCCCCGTGAAGTAAGATAGGTTTGTTTTATAAAAGGTCGGCACGGAGGGACGAGTTTAGAAAATGGCGTTCCTATGACATGGATAAGCTCCTAAATCCCCGGGGGCGAATGCAGCAGGCTGTGCTGGAGCAGGCGATACCCGGCAAGTCCAAGAGACAGGGCTCCTAGCTCCGGCTTCTCTACCAAGCAGTTTTATGTCAGCATTCAACTTACTTCCCTTTCCTGGGCTCCCATCTTATCACCTTTAAAATGTAGTGGTGGAAAATATGATCTCTAACGTCCAACGTAGCTCAAGTGTCAGGTTCAAAAACTTTTCCATTGCTTTCGGGCGATTTGCTGTTTTGAACTATTCATGACACTTCCTCTCTATTCACACACATACTGGGCTTCTTATTGGTTGGCTGGTTTGGAGTTTTTATTCATAAAATAACAGTGAAGACATTTTTCTTTGGCTAATTCATAGACTTATATGAAGTAAACGGGAGAGGTAAAAAGGTGGCCAATACCAAGTGCTGGCATGGCAAGAACATGGAGAAATCAGAACCCTCCTGCATGGTTAATAGGAATGCAATATGATGCAGTTGCCTTGGAGAACAGCCTGGCAGTTCCTCAAAATGTTAAACATTGAGTTACCATAACCTAACAGTTGCGCTTCAAGGATTATGCCCAAAAGAAATGAAAATATACGTCCACTCAAAAACTTGTTCGTGAATGTTTAGAGTCACATTATTTACATAGCCCAAAGTAGAAATAACTCAAATGTCCATCAGCTGACAAATAAATTAAATGTGGCATATAACGGAGTATTACTCAGCCATAAAAACAAATGAAGTACTTAACACATGCTACTAGGTGATAAACCTTAAAAAATTATTCTAAGATAAAGAAGCCAGTCACAAAGGTCTGCATATTGTATTACTCCATTTGTATGAAATGTCCAGAATAAGCAAATCTATAAACACAGTAGTTGGTTGGGGCTGGAATGGATGGTGGATAAGTGGGAAGAGAAAGTAACTACTAGAGATCCAAGATGGCAGAGGAATAAGTGGAAGATGTACAAACCTCCTCTTGGGACAAAACTGGAATTACAAGAAAATTGTAGAGAAAACATCCTGAATAAACATCTGAACAGTAGCTGGAGAGATGCCTTATAACCAAGGACAGACAGAAGAAACCACATCACCACAATGGGCCATGTAGGGAGTGCAGAGGAGGTGCAAGAGGGCTGGCGGGGCTCCCACAGTGGCAGCTGAAGTGCTGGAAGGATATTTCAGTGGCCAGGGGCTTTCCCCTGAGAAGTGTGGGGTCTAAACCCTAAGCTGGGCTCCCCAGCCTATAGCATCAGAGCTGGGAAAGGAACCCAGATAACATCCAGCTGTGAAAAGCAGCTGGTTTCTGTCTGCCAGGGAGAGACAGCTGGAGATGCAGAGAGCCTCTTAAAGGGCTAACACAAAATTCTATTTGCAGCCACTTACCCTGAGCTCTGGCAGAGGGAGGGTAGAGTGGACTAGAGACACGTGAGGAAAATCTGGGGCTGGTGGCTCTGGGGAGAGAACTGAAAAAAGAGCTGACAGAATCCCGGCACTGAGTCATCTCCCACACTGCAGAGGCCGCCTTTCTCAGGCAGAGCACTCCTCTCCAAGTGCCATCAGCGCTACCTGCAGGAATTACTCTGCCCCACCGTTACAGCTTGAGGCTCTATTAGTGATTAGTTTAACAGCTAAGGCAGATCTCTGGGAGCTCTGAGACTTTAGCTGACCCTCCTGTGGGCCCACAGCTAATAAAAGTCAGCCTGGGTGCACAGCCTGGTTCTTTCCGCACAAAAACAGGCCCAGCAGAGGAAGCCATATGCTGTGGATTGCCGACAGCTCCAAACAGGTTGCCCAGGGCCAGCCACAGGCAGCATCTGACATAGGACTGCACCAGAGTCTTTGCAGATCTACCTCTTATATAGAAACAAACAAAAAGAGGCAGCCAAAATGGGAAGAAAAATAAACAGGTCCAAATGAAAGAACAAGAGAATCCTCCATAAGAAGAACTAACTGAAAGGGAGGTAAGCAATTTATCAGATATAGTTCAGAGCAATGATTATAAGGATACTCAACAGCATGAAAAAAAAAAAAAAAGACAATGAAACTATAAAAAAGGACCAGTCAGAAATAAAGAATGAAAGAGCTCAAATAAATATTACACTGGAAGGAATAAACAGCAGATTAGATGAAACAGAGGATCGAATCAGCAATTTGGAAAACAAGGGGGAATTAAAAAAAAAACAAAACACCCTAGCAGAGCAGCAAAAAGAAAGAAGAATTTTTTAAAAATGAGGAGAACTTAAGAAACTTTTGGGACAACATGAAGCATCACAATATCCGCATCATAAGAGTATCAGAAGAAGAAAGTGAGCAAGAGATTGAGAATCTATTTGAAGAAATAATGACAGAAAACTTCCCTAATCTGGTGAAAGAAAAAGACACACAAGTCCAGGAAGCACAGAGCTTTCCAAACAAGATGGGCCCAAAGGGGCCTTCACCAATACACATCATAATTAAAACGGAAAAGCTTAAAGACAAGGACAGAATCCTAAAAGCTGCAAGAGAAAAGCAGGTAGTTACCTACAAGGGAGCTATGTCATTTGATTTCTCAACAGAAACATTTCAGGCCAGAAGGGATTGGCATAAAATATTCAAGGTGATGAAAAGCAAGGGCCTATAACCAAGGATACTTTACCCTGCAAGGCTAGCATTTAAAATTGAAGGAAAAATAAAGGGCTTCTCTGACAAGAAAAAGCTAAAGGAGTTTGTTAACACAAAAACCCGTACCAAAACAAATGCTAAAGGGCTTGCTTTAAGGAGAAGGAGGAGGAGGTGGCGGCCGAAGAGGAGGAGGAGGAGATGAAAAAGAAAAACAGGGGAAAATAGTTTAAAAATAAAATGGCAATATCTATCAATAATCACTTTAAATGTAAATAGCTTAAAATGCTATAACCAAAAGACATAGGGTTGCTCAATGGATAAGAAAACCAGAAAGTAACTACTAATAAGTGTAGAGTTTCTTTCAAGGGGGATAAAACTATACTAAAAATCATTAAGTTGTATAGTTTATTTTTTTAAAGATTTTATTTATTTATTTTTAGAGAGGGGAAGGGAGGGAGAAAGAGAGGGAGAGAAACATCAATGGGTGGTTACATTTCACACGCCTCCTGCTGGGGACCTGGCCTGCAACCCAGGCACGTGCCCTACACTGGGAATCCAACTGGAGACCCTTTGGTTTGCAGGCCTGCGCTCAATCCACTGAGCCACACCAGCTAGGGCTAAGTTGTATACTTTAAATCAGTACATTGTATCTATGTAAATTATATCTCAATAAAGCTGTCAAAAATAATAGAAGTGAAAGTATAATTCTTGTAAGGTACATAAATAAACACAAATAAAGGCACCCCTACTTAAGCAACAATTTTGATAAATTAATGGCTATACCATATTGGAAATGGTTCTA